AATCAAAATGAAAGCTAAGAGGGAAGAAGAGGAAAACAAAGAAAATCAAAATCAAAATCAAAAAAGAAGAAAAAAAAAGTCCTCCTTCATGGACTAAAGAAAGGGAAAAGAAGGTATCAAGTTTAGAGGCAAGTGTCCCCTCTAAAGAAGTTGTTCACAAGAGTCACTTATCTCTCAAAAATGATATTAAAAAAACACTTTTGCTTGAATAACCTTTATACCTTCTTTGTTTCAAAGAGACACTCACTGACACTAGTCATGAACTTGAGTCTCTACCTCAAGAGGTCCAAATACTTTTGCAAGAATTTGATGATTTATTCCCTTAAAAGGTTCCAAGTGGAGTTCCACCTTAAGAGGAATAGAGCATCAAATAGACCTCATTTCGGGAGCAAGTCTACCAAATAGGCCCGCCTATAGGACTAATCCCCAAGAAACCAAAGAGATAGAAACTCAAGTTGAGGACTTGTTGAAGAAGGGATGGGTTTAAAAGAGCCTTAGCCCTTGTGCCGTCCCCGTTCTTTTGGTGCCTAAGAAGGATGGCAAATGGAGGATGTGCACGAATTTTAGAGCCATCAATAACATCACCATAAAATATAGGCACCCAATCCCTAGGCTAGATGATATGTTGGATGAACTACATGGGGCCATCATATTCTCCAAAATTGATCTTAAGAGTGGTTATCACCAAATTAGAATCAAAAAGGGTGATCAATGGAAAACCGCTTTTAAAACCAAGTTTGGTTTGTATGAATGGTTAGTGATGCTTATGGTCTCACCAATGCCCCTAGCACCTTCATGCGCCTAATGAATCATGTACTTAGGGATTGCATAGGGAAATTTGTAGTTGTTTATTTTGATAACATTTTAATTTTTAGTAAATCCTTAGATGAGCATCTTGGACATCTAAGAAAAGTCTTAATAATTCTTAGGGACAACCACCTCTATGCCAACTTGGAGAAATGCACCTTTTGTAAGGAAAATGTGAACATTTTAGGTTTTATTGTTGGCAAAGGGGGAGTGCAAGTTGACCCCGAGAAAATAAAAGCCATCCAAGATTGGTCCACCCCAAAAAGTGTGGGAGATGTGAGGATCTTCCATGGTTTAGCAAGCTTCTATAGAAGATTTGTCAAAGACTTTTCCACACTTACATCCCCACTTAATGAGCTTGTTAAGAAGGATGCTCCTTTCATTTGGGGTGAAGCCCAAGAAAAAGCTTTCAATGATCTTAAGGAAAAGCTCACCAATGCACTCATTCTAACCCTCCCAAACTTTGCTCAAACCTTTGAGCTAGAATATGATGCGTCCAGTTTTGGCATAGGTGCCGTGTTACTTCAAGGAGACCACCTCATTGCTTAATTTAGTGAAAAACGTCATGGGGCCATCTTGAATTATCCCACCTATGACAAGGAGCTTTATGCCCTTATTAGATCCCTCCAAGTTTGGGAGCATTACTTAGTGACTAGAGAATTTATCATACACACCGATCATGAGTCACTTAAGTACATTAGAGGGCAAGGGAAGTTAAACAAGAGACATGCCAAGTGGGTTGAATATCTTGAGCAATTCCCTTATATTATCAAATATAAGAAGGGAAAGAATAATATGGTGGCAGATGCTTTATCTAGAAGGCAGTCATTACTCTTTTCCTTGGGGTCTCAAATTCTTAGTTTTGATAATATAAAGGAGTTGTATGATGATGATCAAGATTTCCAATCCACCTTCACCAAATGCCTCCAAAAGCCTTTTGATGGGTTCTATCTTCTTGAGGGGTACCTTTTTAAAATGAGAAGACTTTGTATACCCCAAGGATCCATTAGAAAGATTATGGTTAAGGAAAGTCATAAGGGAGGTCTCATGGGCCATTTTGGGGTTGATAAAACCCTAAGTCTTTTAAAATTTACATTTTATTGGCCACAAATGAGAGTGGATGTTCAAAGGCATTGCTCCAAGTGTATCACTTGTCTTCAAGAAAAATCAAGAGTAATGCCTCATGGAGTCTACACCCCTCTTCATATAGCTAGCTCCTCTTCGGTTGACATTAGTATGGATTTTGTACATGGTCTCCAAAGGACCCAAAGGGGGTTTGATTCTATCTTTGTGGTTGTGGATCATTTTAGAAAAATAGTTCATTTTATACCATGCCACAAAGTAGATGATGCTAAGTATATTGCTAAACCTTTCTTCAAGGAGGTGGTCCATTTGCATGGGTTACCCAAGACTATTGTGTCTGATAAGAACTATAGTCACTTTTGGAAAATTCTTTGGGAAAAACTAGGAATAAAGCTTGTCTATTCCACTACTTGCCACCCACAAACCGATGGGCAAACCGAAGTAGTGAATAGGTCCTTATCCACATTATTAAGGATCATTTTAAAGGGGAACAAGAAAACTTGGGATGAATGCCTCCCCCACAGAGAGTTTGCCTACAATAGAGTAGACCACAAGACTACTAACCTATCTCCTTTTGAGGTTGTATATGGCTTTAATCCCCTTACCCCACTTGAATTGATCCCACTCCCTAATACTACTTCCTTGTACCACAAAGAAGGAGAATCTAGGGCTGAATTTATAAGGAAATACCATGAGAAAGTCAAGAGCCAAATTGAAAACAAACCGAAAAATATGCCAAGTACAAACAAAGGGAGGGAAAAGGTAACCTTTGAAGTTAGGGATTGGGTTTGGCTTCACTTGAGAAAGGATAGATTCCCTACTCAAAGGAAGTCCAAACTAAGCCCTAGGGGAGATGGCCCTTTCCAAATTCTTAGAAGAATTAATGACAATACATACATCCTAGACCTTTCCTCTGATTATGGAGTTAGTTCCTCTTTTAATGTTTGTGATCTTACACCTTTTGTAGGGACTAATGACATGGATGAGGATGACGATTTGAGGTCAAATCCTTCTCAAGAAGGAGGGGATGATGGAGAACCATCCTTGAAGCATTATATAGGGCCTATCACAAGGTCCATGGCTAGGAGAGTAGAGGAAGATGAAGGACACACCACACCAAGAGCCATGATCATCATGTGTGGATTTTGAGCCCTCTCCTTAGTTTGTTGCTTTCTTTTCCTATTTTACCCTTGTATTTTGGGATACATTAGATATTAGGATTTTATTTTGTATTTTTATTTAACCTTTGTATTATGAGGAAAAATTAGTCTTATGATTTATTTTAGGACTTAAACCTTAATTTAGAAGGTCAAAGTCCATTTCTTTCTTTTTCTAGGCCTAAGGGTACTTTAATCTTTTAGGAGAGATGAGAGCCATTTCATTTGGGCTTCATTTAGGGCTCATTTAGGGTGCATTTGGACTTCAAAATTTTGGCCAAATGCTCCCAAGAAACCCTAGATGCCTTTCTCTCTCTCTATAAGTACTCTAGGTCATCCACCTTGTAGCCACTTTAGAAATTAATGATATTGAGTGAGCCTTGTGCCTCTTTATTCCTTCCTTAGTCCCCTAGGACTCCACTGCCCCCTATCATGTCCTCTCTTCCTTGAGTGAGCTTAGGTCCCCCTTGGTTGGCCTTCATCATCCTGAGTGAAGTGAGCTAGCCTAAAGGAGCTACACCACCAAACACCTTCCCCTCCCTCCTTCATTTTGTGCGTCACCCTTCACCTCCCTAAACACCATCTCCACCACTTCCATACCCTTGAAGAGATCACCCTTCACTTCAACTCAACCTTGGAGAAGAGGAAGAATCAACCACTAGCCCTCATGGAGAAGTTGGTTCCATCAATAACTAATCTCATTAACCTAATAATAAAAATCAAATATTTATATATCTTTCATAAGTTATGATATTTTTATAAATATTTAAAATTTATAAATTATAAAATTGTGTTACTAATATCTTAATATGACTTTTAGCTTCTAAATTTAACAAATTATTTAAGCAAAATAATGTTATATATGTTTTTTTTATTATTTTCTAGTTTATTTATATTTTAATTTTAATTGTTATTTTCATTGTTAATTTAACTTTTTTTTACTATGATAAATCATAAAAATTATATTTACACTTTGATTTTCTATGTATTTTGTGTATAATTTAATCATTTATAAATTGTTGATTTATTATTTCTAGCTAAATATAATATTTTAATAAAGAAAATTTTTGTAAAAAGTATTTATATTTCCAAGAAAAGTAATAGTGTAACTAAACGTAATAATCTTTATATTTCTAATAATCTTTATGAGTAACCAAATAAATTTTGATCATTTCTAAGAATTATGATTTTTGAAATTTGAAATTCTTAGTAATTACAATTTTTTGGTAAGAAAAAATTCCTCTCCTAACAAAGGTCTCCTTAATGTCTTCAATTGTAATTAAAAACTTAATATTTATATGCTTATTTGAACTTCCACTCTTACTAATTTTTTAGTTTGTGTATTTTACATGTCAAATATTTTATTATATAACTAAAATTTATAATAAATATCATATAAAATTATAATAAATAAATTTTTTAAATATGTAAATTATATTTTATATTTAAGACAAATAAATATATTATTTTATGTAATATTTTTTATATTTACCAAAAACATATATTACTTTTAATTATTGATAAATTATTTAAAATATTAAAATCTAGTTCATAAATAAATATGATAAATAAAATAATTGAATAACATAAAAAAAATTAAAAATCAGAAGAAGAAAAAACACTCTCTTATAAGATAATTCATATTTAACATATTGAAATTTTTTATCCTTTTAAAAAGAGTATCAAAGTCAAATTATCACAAATACTTTTATCTCTCTTGCAATAGAGTTTAAAGTTATTCAGAATTTAGAATAACTTATATTCAAAACTTTCAAAAACATATTTTAAAAAAATAAATATTAAAAAAAAAAGGCAATGCTCCAATTTTATGTAAAACAAAATTGCTATTCAGTAATATAAAAAAAAAAAATTGTGGGCCTATTGGGCCAAACGAATTGGAAGCGAAGCAACCAAGTCGCAAATAACCCAATAAGAACGTTAAGTTAAACGAGTGGGATCCTAAATGAATGACGCAAGCGCTGAGTGCTAATGCTAAACAAGTAAACCTTCTTCACCGTTTCGTTTCGCCGACAACAAACCGAGGAACCATTCCTAATTCCTCATTCCACACACACACACACACACATACATATATAAATACTCTGTTCCTTCCTTCGATTGCTTTCTCTGTTTCAACAAAACATTTCGAGTTTCTCCGAAGCATGCCGGGATTAACGTGCAACGCTTGCAACACCGAATTCAAGGATGACACAGAGCAAAAGTTTCATTACAAGTCCGAGTGGCATCGCTACAACCTCAAGCGCAAGGTTCCTTTTCCTTTTCTCTATTTTCGTATCCTTTTTTTTTTATTTATGCTAAACCCTAATATTTTTATTGTTCAATCATGAAACATTGGAATGTTTGAGAATATGCGATGCAAATAAGCCTTTTCCTTTTCTCCTTTTTGAAGTGTCGTATTTTTCCGTTATGATTGTTATTTTATTTACTAGTTTGATTATTTGGGGAGATCTGTCTCGTGTTTTGCGTTATTTATATATTATTGTTGTTTCGTGAATTTTGATGATATCGTTGGGTTGTGTCAAAATACTGAATGTGTTCCCAGTGAGGTTGGCGTAACTGGTAGGACCAAAACAACTTCAAATCAATTGTGTTGAGAACATTTGTTGGAGTAATTGTTGAGGTTTTTTTTTTTATACCTTTTAGAACCTGTGAAGATAAACATCTTTATAAGTACTTATGATAAGAACATAAGAAGGTTAAGTGGATTGAGTATCTCTAATAAGCTAAAATCAACTCATGCACTTATGTTTTTGGAGGAGTTAGATGAGAGAGCCTTTATAAAAGTTAAGTGCATAAGTTGATTTTAGGTTATGGGAGAAACTCATTCCTTTTTAAGTGCTTATGGAGAAGTTTATCCAAATAAGGTCTTATATTGTGTAGGGACTTGGGAGGGAGATGTTGTTAGCTCGGGGGAGGATTCATGCTTGTAAATGATTAGGGTTGATTGCATTTATATAGGAGACATAGAAAGTGAGTTGAGTGTTTGTATGCGATGGTGAGTTGAGTAAATTTGAGCCATAAAATCATAAATGGATGATTAGGATTAAAAGTTATTTATGATCATATGACCACTTAAGTAAGAGGTTAGTGTGAGAGAAGCAAATTTCAAGCATATAATTGAAATGGATGACTATGATTAAAACGAGTTAAAATAATTTCAACCATCTTTTTGTGGTTGTATGACTATGATATATGCATGTGGATACACCCGCATGATGTAGCAGAGGGGGAGGATTTGGTGACTATTCCTATTTTTTTTCTTTTCAATAGCTTGGTTTATTTCCTAGAAAATATTAAATTAATGTCAAATTTTTTAAATGTATATAGGTGGCTGGGGTTCCTGGGGTGACAGAAGCGTTATTTATGACTAGACAATCTGTGATTGCTCAAGAGAAAAATAAATTGAGTGAAACCCCCATGCTCTATAGCTGTGGTCTTTGTGGAAAGGATTATAAAAGTTTTAAGGCTCATGCTGAGCACCTTAAATCGCGTGGCCATATGATGAGGGCTTCTGAAGGAACTAGTCATGCAGATGAGAAGGCAATAATTAAGCCACTTCCACAACGTGTTGTGAATAGGCCTCCTCCTAGAAGAGAGGCAGATAACTCTGAAAATGATGAAAGTGAAGATGAATGGGAGGAGGTTGATCCTGATGATGATATGGTTGATGATGCTGCAAAGTCCTTGACTGATTTGAATGTGAATGAGCATGGTGACAATGTTGATATGGATGAAGATGATGATGATGATTTTGAGGAGTTAGACCCTTCATGTTGCTTTATGTGCGATCAAGAGCACAAAACAATAGAAGACTGCATGGTTCACATGCACAAGCATCATGGATTCTTCATTCCAGATGTTGAGTATTTGAAGGATCCAAAAGGTCTCCTCACCTATCTTGGCCTTAAGGTATATTTCTGTCCCCACTTCCAAACAAAAAGAAGAAAAAAAAAGGTTTGGTTTGAGCCTAATTTCTCCGTTTTCCATTTTCTAGGTCAAAAGGGACTACATGTGTCTGTACTGCAATGATAGATGTTATCCTTTCAGCAGCTTGGAAGCAGTCAGGAAACATATGGCAGCAAAAAGTCACTGTAAAGTGCATTTTGGTGATGGTGATGATGAGGAGGAGATAGAATTGGAAGAATTTTATGATTATAGCAGCAGGTTAGTTTAATTCCAACTGCTTTGGTTTGAATTGCTCATTCTTTATTAAGTATCCCCATAAAATTGGTAAGGCTTATTGATACATCCAATCTCAAATGTTCTTTATGTTTGTTCAGTTATGTGGATGATCAAGGCAAGCAGCTTGTTGTTTCTGGTGATGCGGATAACAATGTAGAACTTGTTGGTGGGTCTGAACTCATAATCACTAGGAAATCTGGTGATAGAATATCAACCAGAACACTTGGTTCCCGTGAATTTTTGCGTTATTATCGTCAGAAACCTCGGCCATCACCAGCAAATTATATGGCTGTCACTGCTGCATTAGCTTCAAGGTTTACCTTTCTAACCTTTTGTTCTATCTCTCTGTAATGCTGAGGGGCTAACATTTGGGTATCATTCAAACAAATTATTGTCGCATAGTGATGGGGATTTTTTTTCCTTTATTTTCAGATACAGGAGCATGGGTTTGACCACTGTCCAATCAAGGGAGCAAATTGTGAGGATGAAAGTCCTGAAGGAAATGAATAGGTCAGGTGTGGAGAATATGCGTACCAAGATAGCGATGAAGAGTAATGTCATCCGGAACTTGCCAAAGAATGTCCCGTATTAGTCCTCACGGGTAATAGTTCACTTATTTAAGTGGTGAAGCTGTGGTAGTTATAAGTTTTCCTTCTGAAGTAATTATGCATTTCTTGATCTCATGAATCATCCAAAAGGTATCATCAACAGATTTAAAGGTACAATGACACGATACTTTCTAATGAGAGGTATTATGCGCTATACTTTTTCTTTGTCGTTAATGGTATCATCAACATCTGGATGACAAGGACACTTGGTTCTTTTGGGAGAAAAAGGGAGCTACCATATCATTTCACAGGAACACATGGAGTTTATTGATGATATTTATAGACTTGAAAACTGAGTTGGTATTTTCATTTTAATCCAGAAGGAATTACAATTATCTGTTTTGGTTTTTTCTTTTTTTTCTTTTTTGGTCTGGGGAGGGAGATGGGTGATTGAAATAGTCTACTATTCTTTCGATACTATGCATTCCTCTTTTCAAGTTTGAGGTTTTGAGAATAATTTATATAGTATTTCATTTACATAAACTATATGGATTTGGTTTCCTATTTTCAAAAGCTAAAAAGTTGAGAAATTTTTAGGTCGTGTTCCATCTTCATGAACCACATTGTCAATGATATGGTCAAATAGGACGAAAATGAATGTTAGCACTCGATATGGAAACGTTACTGAATTTGCTTCCTTTAAAATGAGTATTATTCACTTTAGACACTAAATAATTATTGGTTGGAAAATCATTGAGATTGTGATTACATAATTGTGGATGTATAAAAAAATTAGAGATAATCATCCAAACGCTGCGAGTGTAAAGTTTTTTACACTGGCAACCAATTATATCTTTTAAATTATTTTTTTATTTTTATTTCATTAAATAAGCAATTGATATGATATTATTAAAAGATATAATTGGTTGTTAGTGTAAAAAAAAATTTTACACTGACAATGTATAGGTGATTAATTCAAAAAATTAACTAGTTTAAATATGAATCACTGGATTTTTTTTATCAATATTTATTCTCTTAAATGAACCTTCTCATTTTATGAGAAGCAAAACCAATGTTACATTGGCATGAATTTTGTCAGTAACAGGGTGTTATGTGTTGCTCGTTTGACAAATTTTTGTAATGGATTGACTTTGAAGGTATGGTGGGGATTAGTAGAAACCCAATATATGTTGAGGCAGCATCTCCATTTGAATATTCGGATTTTCTTGTAACATTTGGTAGTCACATCCTTTTCATGCATCATAAAGGATTACAACAATATGATGTGATGAAAGTGATTCTTTTTGCATGAAACGAAACGCTCTAATCAATGTCCCCACCTCTTAAGGATTGTCAATTGGTGCAAAAAATAAATAAATAAGAATTGTCAATTTTTCACCTGTTTGGCCTTGCAACGAATTCTGTAAAAATAAATAAATAAATAAATAAATAAAAAAAAGATTCCAAACATAAAATAAAAAAAGGTTGTAATTGCACTTATTTAGGTGTTTCTCTTCCACATGTTTGTCGTGAATGTTATATACAAATAATTTTAACAAAATATAAAATGATACTAGTTTGTCGTGAATGTTCTAGCCGATTTTTTATACTTTGAAATCAATGAATTCTAGTTTTAAACTACAGAAGTCAAATTCCAACCCGAACGCATGATTTCACTTTCATATCATGTGATAAATTATATGTGGCAATACTCAAAAGGAAATTTACTTTAATATACTAAAACCTTTTGTTTTTTATTGATTAAAAATTACTTTGGGTACATTTTCAATATAATTATTATAAAAAAAAATTGACAATTTATAATCGAGTAATTCTATAAAATTTTATTCTATATATATATATAGAGAAGAAATTTGTTTAATTCAAGAATAAATCTACTTAAATTCACTTTATTTTATAATTCATGTTCTACATTAAATTTTAGTCATCTAATTGTTGAATATAGAATTTTTAATGCATAGATTAAACTTGCAAAATTTTAAAAAATTTAAAAAATTATTTGGTATTTCGTTTCATTAATTCAAATGAATGAATAATTATAAAAATTATTTTATACATTGATTTGAGTTAATAAAATAAAGTAGTAAATGGTTTTAAAATTTTTTTTTAAAATTTTTAAACTTGATCTATTTATTAAGAATTTTAAATTTAATGATTGGATCGTTAAAATTTGATATAGAATGAGTTATTAAATAGAGTAAGTTTAAGTAAACTTATTCTTAGAGTATAAGGATCCTTACTCATATACATATATATTATGAATAAATAAAAATATTTATTACATGTAGAGTTTGATACACTCAATCCCTTTAACTAATATCATAAACACAACAAAAATAAGAAAGGAGTTCTTGAATAAAGTACTTCAATAAAAAGTTAGTAGAAAGGTTTAAAAAATGTTTCAATAAGTAAATAACCTGTATTTCTTTCTTAAACTAAAAACATTGTTCTAAAAGTGTAAACATGATAGACAAACTAATTGAAGCTATGTAGCCATCCAAAAACCATGACTAACAAGAATAGCATTCTATTAGAGTACAATGTGAACATGTAAGCAAGTCTTTAAGCCTTATCTTCTTGTTGATGATTGTCACCTACAATGGCATTTATCCAAATAGAAACAAAGTAACAACAAAATAAAAGGCTAAAATACAATTCACTCTGACTTCTAGTGTGAGATATGGTCGGATGGCTACAAGCCAAACAACACATAGAAAAATATATAAAAATCTCATTCATAAAAATAATGTAGAATAACCCACCAAACATTAAACAACAATGCACACATGCACATACACATTAAGTTTCAACAATTCAACCGTTAAATTACAAGTTCTATTATATAGATCAAGTATACAAATGTTTAAAAAAATTGAAAATTATTTAATAGTTGATTTCATTAATTCAAATTGATGAATATTCTTAAAAGTATTTTTTATGCTAATTTGAATTTGTCTAATGAAATGTTATATGATTTTTAAAGTTTGCAAAAATTTGTAGACTTGAAAGAACTTTTAATTTAACAATTGAATCATTTAAATTTGAGGTAGAATATGAGTTAATGAGTAGAATAAATCTAATAAGACTTATTTTTGAAGTAGATCCCTATGTGTATGTGTGTGTCTATATATATATATATATATATATATATATATATATATATATCAACATTCATGCACATAATTCTCATATGACAAATGCACTAACTTGGTTAACTCTAAATGTTAACAACAAACACCTAGCCAAGGTGTCTAGCACACTCAACTAGGGGAAGATACCCTAGGGTGCGTTGGGAGAGCGGTGTCATGCAAGGTACACCCCATGCAAAATTGAGTGAAATTGAGGCTCTCAAACCCCGCGTGTCTCCAAGGTCATGAATCCCCAAAATCACAAGGGAGACCTCCCCTATCTTGTATTCAACATTGATAGCCTGTGACAAAAACACTTTATCCATATAATACATGCCATACACAAGACCCAATGCAAGACCCAACATCTCATCTTCATATCATCACTTGTCACATGTTCACATTATCCCAACTATGCATACATGCCTAGACTTTCTACATGGCTAAGCCATTAGCTTAGACCTCACAACATGTGGCAATTCACAAGGTCATGGGTTCACAATTCAAGCGCGATAATATTTACAACATTTTCCAATAACACCTCAAAGATAGTCATTACAAGACCATCCATTATGACTATAAATTATTAACTTAATCACTTTCACACTATTAGTAATATTAAAAGTTATATCCTTAAGCTAACTATCATCAAATTACCTCAATTCATAATTATAAATTCATCTCATCACTTATTAATACCTCAAATATAGTTACTAGGAATTCAATAATACTAAAAATTTTAATCAATTAATCCACTATTTTCACAAATACTAATAGAATCACATCTTATTCTCATAAGTATAACTACCACTAAATCACTAACAATTTGTTCATGTCCTAGCCTACACAAGGTTCATTTACTCAAGGTGTTTAATGAGGCTCACCTTGCAGTTAGCATCATCCCCACAAAGAGCAACCCTTGCTTTCTAGAGGTCTCTTGCTCAACATGGTCATACCCACACCCAATTTTAAAGTAAAAGAGAGTCATTGAGACTTTTCACACCTAGCGCAATCTCATTTGCACTCAACACCTCAAGATAGTGATAATTTTTGCTCTCAAAGATCATGGCACCATGTCTCCACTCCCAATGGGATGATAGATTCGTACCCTCTTGTAGAAACTACAAAAATTGTCTAAGACACCAACGTTCACTTTTGACTCATCTTATTCTATCAATTCTTCTTTAATTACTTGATTACCACACCAATTGCTTAATCTTTTATTACATTATTCAATCTTCAACCTACTCTATCAAATTAAAGTTTCTACAAGAACCTAAGGGTTTCACACAAATTTGCAATTTAACACACAAAGATAATCACATATCCCAAAGCACTCATACATCTTCAAGATCAATAATTCAATCCAAATAAACAACTATTTCCTTAAATGCAATCAAACAATGAGGTTCTCAAGGTTCCTCTACAAGACAATAGAGGTAACTAAATGGGATTGGGGGTCAATCTCACCACTCAAAATTATTTCACACACAAAATGAGAATACTCACCCTCATACCTTGGAAAGCCCTCGACAATGACAATAGATCTCCGAAAATTCTTTTTGCATCTTCGATGTTCTCTCTAAGCATATCCAATTTTTTTTCTCTTTAAAACTCTCTTTTAATTAAACCACACACCTTGAGTTAAGAAGTGAACCCAAAGTCAAAAACACTTACTTTTTATTAATTAAAATAATTAAAACTGCAACACATAATTAATATTTTCGCAAGCTCTTCTTAATTTCACAAAATGCAATAAATCTTCAAAAACATATTATTTATATACTCACTCCGTTCCTATATATAAGAAACATAGGACGAAAATCATACAAACCAAGGAAATGTCATTTGAGTTGTTAATCGTAATTAATATATCCTAAATTTAAATTTTATTACTAAAATACTCATATAATTAAATGTTTTAATGACACTAATATGAAAAATTGGTCAGTGCCTCTCTCTTAATAAATTAGGGATATAAAAATAATCTATTAATTAATACAAATGAAAATATGACTGTTTCTTATATTTAGGAACAAAAAAATTATACTTTTGTTTCTTATATATAAGAACGAAAGTAGTAGAAAACTTGGAATGTTACATATAGCATAAAATCATTTCTCTATTATATATATATCGATCATAAACCTAAAAAATGATATTAAGATTAGACTCGAGGATGAAGTGCATGTCACCATTGTAAATAATTAATATGATCCAACAGAAAATGCAATTTTTTTTATTAACGATTGGATTATATCAATCAACCTGTAACAGCCCGATTTTCACAGATTGTTTGAGGGCCCAAAGGCCCAATAGGGCTGATTAGTAGCCCAGAACTGGCCGTT